GGCAAAAACCTGGCAGCTCCCATCTGACCCCACAATCCCCTACTGGTGACAGCTCCAAGCTCCATGGCAAATTAGGCCTTCTCATATTACAATTGGAGAAGACAGATTCCATTAGCAGTATCTGAAATTGAGTGGAGAGCTGCACTGTTATCAGACTTGACTCATAAGCACTGCTATTAATCAGAGCTATGATAGCATTTATATATTTCAAGCTATCTGCTGCCTCTGTGATATTCTGCTACAAAGGGTTGATGGGACTTAGGAAAGTGAACAATAGAGCTTTCTGGGAAAAGCAGAGTAAATCAAGAAAGTCTATGACTTCCGCACATTCTGAAGGGATTGTGGTTTACATAAATTTTCTCCCAATTGGAGATTGAGCTCTTCCTCATCTTACACATGGGATTTAGTTGTCACTCAATGGTAACAGCTGTGAAAAGGTGAAGCGGCCCACCGCTCAGAATATTGCCTTTGCTTTTAAAGCAATTAACCCATGAACAGGAGGATACCTGGTGATATCAAAGGGATTAGGCCAGGCAGTGCATTATTAACATTTCCTTGAACTAATTCTAACTCTGACTAGCTGTCAGAAAAGACTCTACAGTCTTAAAAAAGAGTTTTTGCCCTGCTTTTTTCCCCTTCAAAATGAAGTGCCGCTATTTGAGCCTAATATGTCCCTCTACTTAGAAGAAAATGCAAATGAACCAAGCTCTTAATATGCTTAGCCAGTCTGAGTCAATGCAATTTTAATACAAGTATGAGAGAAATATATGATCAATTAACCAGGGATCAAGACAGATATTCTCCTGAATGGAAATTAATACTCCAGTACTTTCCATTCTTCTTCAACTACAAAAACTTGGTGACTATTTGTTACTTCTTCTGCATAGTTACCTCTGAAATTAGGAAGAGCTTGACATTCTTCTCTATGGCAATAATCTAAAATACTCTTTGAGCTGGAAAATCTAAATGTCCCTTAAGCAGGAGATTCTACATTCTCTAAGGTACGGCATTTTAATTCCTATTCTTTATTGAATAGAATCTTAGCTGGAACTATAAGAATTGCAGACATAGTGCTCCAAATCAAGTATTCCTCCTCCAAAGGTTTAATCAAATTAATTTTTAGCAGCAGCATAACGTTTAGAATTATATCACTTACAAAAAAATAAAATGCCCCATAAATAAAATACTGGCACAAAAGGATCTGCCAGAAAATACTTAAATTTATCACTGAAATTGGTTGTCGGTTCTTTGTAGTGAGCAGGTATAGTTTTACCTTCAATTACCATTAATATTCATATATTCTAGGTAACCTGGTTGACATTAAGAGATCTGATTTCTTACTGTACAATGTTAACGGTGTTAGAAAGTTTTTTAATGCAAGTTTCCTAAGACAGTACCTTCTAGAAAAAAAATTTGCAAAACTGTTTATTCAATGGTTAGTGACTTTGTCTTAATTTCTTTAAGTAAACACTGAATTTTGATTATAAAAACTAAAATAGTTTTACTTTCGATTCACAAGAGTCCTCAACAAACATTGTTGAATGAATTCTTCCATACTTACATTTGGCCCACGACAGTTTGGAAAGGATATGCTGACTCTCAAGCCTATTGAGAGTAGATTTCCTGCCCTGGACCCTACTAAAATACATGATACAAGATATGCCCTCATCTGAGATCATAAGCAATTGAAATCTTCCCTGAGGGAAAGAACTTTTATACAATGCTATCAACATACTCCATTCTCTTTTAGTGATACCAGAGCATAAGAAATGTAAGCATGTTGATGTTGCGAGATAGTGATTTCAGGGCTCCTTCCTTATTAAGTATATAGGACCTAGTTTGAGGTTGCTTAGAAAATAAGTTTGAAATTCAAGTACTAAGCAATGCTAAATCCCGTTCATATTAGTGACTTACCTGAGCTGTAACTTTTAAAATTCTGTATTAATAGGATTTGCGAATTTCAAAGGTGACACTTTAGATATCATACCATCAAACTTAAAAATAATTTACTTCAATGGCCTTGAAAGAGAAAATCCCAGTTCCTACAAATCCCTGTCATGTACTCTTAAAAACACAGATGTACACATTAATAAAATGAATCCTGTTTCATATAAATGAAATGTATTAAACTCCCTTCACATAGTGAATGCTGAAAAATACCCCTGAAGGGGACAATACATAAATACATACAGAAACAACTGCCACAATCTTACTATTTTTAATTCAATAAAGTATAGTGACGCATACAGCTTTCAAAGTGCTCTTTTACTCCCATGCTTTCTACATTAGGGCGAAGCGAATATACATGAGTTCTTGTCAACCATTAGGGAAGACTGACAAAAAAATGCAGTGTTGATGACATCTTACGGCTCTTAAAAGCAAGAGAAAGATGCAAGGAAAGCAAAAATTACATAGTAATTGGAAACAACGAATAAATTGTTCTTTCAACCTAAGTCATGTTTACCGAAAAAATGGAGCTTTTTACATCAACACATTTAAACAGAAATTTGCTTTTAAAATACAATCTTTGTTTAAAAGGTACAGAAGGTCTTTATGTCCACCCCAAGAGCTAAATATAGTGAATGCCATGAGAACAATTACCTGAAAAAAACCTAAACCTGTTAAAAGAATTAATTTACTGCACACCAGTCAGCGCTAATCCTACATGTACAGTAATGTTCTCTGAAGTGATGGGGGGAGAGAAAGAATAAAACTGTTTCCTGGATCAAAACCCTCCAACACTCCACAACAAAATGGAATGATGATTTGTCCTGTCGATGAATAAAGTAGTCAAATGTCTCCTCAACGAATTCTGATAAAGGAGGCAACCTGTAAAGGAACACATTTACCGGACGCTGGGCTGGGAAAAAGCTGTCACTGTAATGGCTGCAAGGGAACTGTGTCCTGCTGTTGGGTTTATATTCACAGAAGAAAGGTTTTAAAGGTTAAGTTCAGGTCATACAACAAATGAAATTGTAACAAGCCAGCTGACACTGTATAATGTCTTCTTCCACTCAATCAATAGGCTACTGTTAGTCCTATTACCATAGAGATGGCTTGCTCTCTCCTGAAGGGTGTCTATTGTTTGACAAAACAGATTTGCCACTTGAACTAGGTTGTTCCCAGAGGACGTGTACCTTGTCAATTATTTGTATTCAAAATAATGAAGTATTTTCATATTAAAATGTATGTAGGAGATAATATTGTTGGATCCCTTTTCTGGAAGAAAGCAACTTTCCCAAGTACAATATTACTAAAACATTCTGAAAACCACTCAAATATCCAGTTTAGTCATATTAAGTGTTTTTGATTTAAAAAGCCTATGTCAGCAAATATACAAATTTACCATTAAGACTGTATTTAAAAAAAAAAGGATCACAGGTTAAGTGTGCTAATCTAAAACCCATTATAATCAAGCATGATAATAAAAGCTATTTTAAAATACAGACAACTCAAAGGAAAATTATTGTCCAAAGCTATTTGGATTCTTTAAAGATTTTTATGTATGATTTTTACAGTGGTTTTCATGTGGAATGGTATCACCAATTTATATATTGAAAAGCATGGAAAAGTTTTAGAGAACAAATCACTTTATTTGCATAAGAGCTTTTTATAGCCACATAGTATTTAAATGTATGTTATAGAAATGATATTCTAAAATCCAGATAAAAAATAAAAAATAAAATAAATTACAGATGAACTACTAAAATAAATACAAGTATTAATTTTCTTTAAATGCCTTTGTCTTAAATGTCTTGTGAAGATTATTAATTCATACATTCAATACAAGACAAGTAGTTCTACATTTCAACCTAGATATTTAAAAATGTTAAAGATCAGTTTTTCTCTCAATAGAAATAATGACAAATTCTTAATTATAAAAGACTCAGGAGAAACAATTCTAAAGAAGATTACTCTAATCATTTAGAAAAAGAAAGTATTCATAATACTAATCAATCCAAGCAGAGATGTTATTTTTAACATTTCATACTGAAAAATTGGCTATCACTGAAAACCTGTAACTGAAATAAAAATGAATTAAATAATGTAGATACAAATGTAGTAAATGACCAACAGTTACAACATTTGAATCTGAAAGCTTTCCACAAATAAATTTAAAAGTAAGCTTTAGGGTTATAATTATGTTAACTTTTACCTTTCCATAAACAATTAAAAAGGAAATTTAGAAAGAATTTAGTCAAAGGGCAATTTTATGAATAAGACAAATAAAAACATTAGTCTCCAAAAATGGCATTTGAAATTGTCTATTCAAATTATACTATATTTACATACAAAAATTTGTTTTTATAATAAAAACTGCAGTAGTTTTTGAAAGAGACGTTTTAATTTGGTTCTCCCTTTGCAGGAAGTGTAACTTGTATTTTTTAACTATAATCTCCTTAGGCATAGGTTAGACTGGTTAAGAATGAAGGAGACAGAAGCAGCAAAGAAAAATTAAGTTTACCAACATCCTAAACTAATGACCCATTTTTTAAAAAGCAAGGTAGCCTTCCGAACCAAGAAAACCTTCCATCAATGAAGTATGTGGGGTCTAATTTGCCTACCTTATTAGGAATGACGTGAAACCTTACCAAAACCATATCCCAAACTGATTTCCTTAGTTAACAGCCTCATTTCAAAGAGTATACAACATGTGCATATAAGATGACCTTCATATTGTTGAATTAAACTGGCCCATCTGCATCTTCATAAAATGACAAACCTTATTAGTTCTGCCTAACCCGAGAACTGTGATAATCAACTGGTGACACCTTGACTCCATTGTAGGAAGCACAACCAACTGTGTAATCACCTGAGGGGTAAAGTGCGTATGAAATTACTGGAAATTAAGAAAGTGTAATCACAGGAGTGATTAGGAAAACCATTCAAGCAACAAAAGAGTTTTGGTTTTGGGGTTTTATTTAATGTCTGCACTTAGGCCATCAGAACGCTCCATCTCCAATTAGCCAAAATTAATTTTAACTCATCAACTACTTTACCTGAAAACGGTGAAAAAAAGTAATGACGCAGCTACTGCTCCAAACAAGCCACACAGAAGATTGACGCGGTAGGCAACTGAACCAAAAGGAAAGAGTATAATTGCCAGTTTAGCCACCAGCGTGAACAAAGGATAGCCAGGAGGATGGGCAACCTATGGAAAAAATCAGCGAGTTAGAAGGTTTTCACCTCCTACTAAAGAGTCACACTGGCTTTAATTGCAAAGTAGCCCTTTGCTCGGGCAAGTATAAAGATTAAGAGGCAATGACTACATGTTTGAACAGCGGTTTTCTATTGTAATCCTTTTGTGCCAATACAAATAAATATTTTCTTTAGCGGATTTGGCAGCGTCTATCACATGGTGTGTCACCTAGAGAAAGGGTGACATATTTCATTGTCAGTTCTTAAGCAGTTTGTTCTCTGGGTTCACAGTACATTAGGGTCATTTAAAAGGCTATTGAAATAAAGCAGGTTCTGAAATTTCGTATTGGTTAGGAAGTTGAAAGACCACACTGCTATCGGATTACCACCATGCTGACAGTCCTAAGGTCTTGCCTAAAGGGATCATGCACCATAATAAAGTTTATTAAATAATAAACTTATTAAAACTGTTAACCCGATTTATTTTATTCTCCATAGCTTATACAAAATTTGGGGTGATAATAAGCCAGCTACTGTATATATAGTAAAGGCTTTGCTTTGTAATTTAGTTTAATTGGATTTAAAACTTAAAGTAAATTGTCACGTACTGTACTTATAAGTTACTAAAAACTGGGGTTTGAAAATAAATTAATCTACTTTACTCCATGCTTAATTAAACTTTCTTAATTCCTAAAACTGTTAATGAGAGCATTGATTAAACAATAAAACTAATACTTACTCCAAGCTCATGTGCGGCTGTGATCAGTTCCCCTGTGAAAAAATAATGTAAAACCAATAATTACTATTAGAAAATGACACTCCTCCAAAGTTTTCAAAATCCAAATGCTTGCACTGGGGTTTTGCATTAATTTGACTGGATAAAACTGTAAAATCTGTAGAGATTTAACAGCATGAAATAGTCTAAGGATATTTTCTCCCTTAGGTCTTACTGAACAAATGATCTTTGATAGTTTTTAATAACTGGTCAGTGGAAACATAGGTGAATTCTGGTTTTTAAGAAGTGCTTATTTTCCTTCCTAAAAGTTGTGCACACTTGCAAATATACAAAAACTCTTATAGAATGTAAGTGTAATATGATGTAATGTCCCTCAAGAATTTAGTATAAAGATATCTACAAAGATGCAACTTTATGATAATGTAAAATGTGCAGACCTCTGAAGCTTAGACATTCCATAACATGTACCATTCTGCTCTAAACTGGCATTTGAATACCTTCTCTACATTAATTATGTCGGGTATCTTTAAATAATTGCCGAGCACTTCTTAGCTCCAGGCTATTTTGGTAAGCTCTGATTACCATAATACATTTCTGCAAACCACTAAATCATTATATTATTTACATAGTCCTTTGTAATTCCTCACCATCAGCGATTATCTCTAAAATTATGATGCAGTAATTCAATGTCTATTTGTTAGTATTTTAAGTATCCAGAGCACAGGGACTATTTCTGATTCATTCCTGTGCACTGTAATACAGGACAATGTAAGAAGTCAATGTTGATGGTTTATGAAAGTTACTAGTATTTATTAGGAAATGTATTACTGTCCATTTTCTATCCTTCGATGGGTATCAATGCTTCTTTAATTTCTACTGTCGCAGCCGCAAAGTAGATCTTTACCCTCTGGCTAGGACAGCAAGAACTTTGACCAGTTTTCTACTTCATCTTCACAGTGAAATCACCTCTTGCCACCCCACCTCCTCAAAACAGGTTGGATTGTATCACCAATCCAAAATTTCTCAATGGCTGCTCTCTGCTTACTAAATGAAGGTCAGATTCCTCAGCACGACAGGCTAGCCCTCTAAAGGCTTCAAGGTTCCCTTTACAAGGCATGTATCAATGAAACCTATGCTCACCTCAGTCAAATCTGATTACCCACTGTTCCTCTGGAATGGTTCTTTTGCACCTCTTATCACTCATTTTCTCACCCAGTGTTCTCTCCTAAATCCTTCAAGGCCTAGTTCAATTGCCACCTTCTCAGTGACACCTTTCCTTATACATACCCCTCCCTAGCCTCCCCCACCAGAATTAATCACTTCTTCCTCCTCCATAGAACCTGCTCTAACCTATTTAGCACTTGTTTAGATTGCCTTATATTCTAGTTAGTTGTTTTCATTTCTGTCTTTTCTAAGTTGAAAATACTAACCTATCCGTTTCAGGGGACTGTCAAGACACCACCACCCTTCCCTCCTCTGGTCCCACAAAGAAACTAATTCCAGTCCTGCACACAGAGGTTGACAATAAGACAAATCATATCATCATCCTTGCTACTCAGATACCCCTATCTTAGGGTGAATGACTGCTCAAAGACAGATAATGCTTTCCTAAGTCAGTTACTTAAGGATACCTTTTAAGTTTTCTGGAGATATTCGAGAGCAATTTGGAAACCAAAGGCACTTTTTGCATCTTAGAGACTTTTTAAAGAAATAGTTTATGGCCTAAAAATATTTAAACTAACTTCCCTTTGTAACTACTGTCAAGGACATTTTATAGTTTTACTCCAGAATGGATTAGGCTTGTCTTCAGTCCCCAAACTGTTTTAATCAGCTTTTTTGGTATTTCTATAGGTATGATGAAACACAGTTAAGTTCAAATTTTCAAAGTCACTATTTATTCTCCTCCATGTAAAGTGTATTTACAATTGCATTTAACATTAAGAAAAATAGCCTACTCTCGCTAACTTCTTTTTACCATTAAAAAATCATAATGTTGGGCGCCTGGGTGGCTCAGTTTGTTAAGCGACTGCCTTCGGCTCAGGTCATGATCCTGGAGTCCTGGGATCGAGTCCCACATCGGGCTCCCTGCCCAGCAGGGAGTCTGCTTCTCCCTCTGAGCCTCTTCCCTCTCATGCTATCTCCCATTCTCTCTCTCTCAAATAAATAAAATCTTTAAAAATAAAATAAAAAAAATAAAATAAAAAATCATAATGTTATTCTTTAAGTTCTGTAGGTATAAAAATTGGGGGAATGTGACAAACTTCCATCACCTACTCTTATATTAAATGTTAAACTAAAATCTAAATAGGAAAGATAGCTATTATTCAAAGTCTATAAATGTATCCTTGAAAAAAGCTAAAGGGGAACATTACTCTTAAACTGGACTTTGATAAAGAGATAAGAGAAATGTGACTAAGGGGGAACAAAAGAGCCTCCTGGATGCTCAGTTACTCCCAACCCTTTACTCTAAGGCTTCTTCAAATTTAAGTCCTACTACAACTGCACCAGAATTACCTGGATGCTTTTTAAAAATGAAGATTCCTTGACCAAACCTACCTATATTAAGACCCTCTGGCACTGGGTCTCAAGTTTCCCAGACAATTCTGAGGTACATTCAAGTTTGAGAATTACAGCTTTTCTGTCTTGAGATGCAAATGGGTGGCAAGCTCAGAATTGTTAGTGGATACTTAACCTTTACAAAAACCAGCTCCCAATGCATTATACTTTTTATATTAATTTTGCAATTATATGCTCATCTATCAAGTCTGTTAAAGACAGTATTCTTAAAATATATGAACACATAAATAAGCTACTTTATTTTTCCCAAGAATAACAAATAAATGTGAAGGCGAGAGTCCCACACTCTCCTCCAGAGGATCATGAGTATTCCCGCCCGTAAATCAACTGTGTATCAAATAGTGCAAGAAATAATTTTGGCAAGGCTACACAATTTGACAGATCTATGGAGTATAATTTAAGACTTATCAAGAAGAAAAATACATACTTTATACTGGTTTTGAGATGTGTTCTGTTTATTGATAAAAATATTATTTCATAAACACAACATTCAAGGAGGACAGTACTTTCAACATATAAACAATTATTATCAAAGATATGATTATACAAATTTTACTGGCAAGACTTGGAAAAGTTTATTTATCATTCCTAACAATGAACACCAAAATATTAGAAGCAACCACTATTTGGCATCAAACTAAACAAATCAGAACACCTAAAAAGTTTGGTAACTCAATGTAAATGGGTAACTTTATTCTACTGGGAAAAAAATAATAGTATTAATAAAGACACCAATCATAGATTTTAAATAGACTCTAAATAACACTATATATGTGATGACGGATTTAACAAAGAACTTAAGAGCACAGGTTAAGAGAGTATGTTCTGAAGTCAATCTACTTGAGTTCTTTCCTTGACTGCCCCCTGCTTTCTAGCTGTGTGAATTCTGGACACAGCTGAGCCTTAGTTTTGTCAGCTATGAAAGGAAGATACTGATAGTTCTTACCTCACAGGGATAGTTAACAAAGGACAATCCACGAAAAGCACTTGGAAGCGTGCCTGGCATATAGTAAGTGCTCAGTAAGTGTTAGTTATTTTTATTCATCCTATCTGAAAACTTCAGGCTCAAAGAATCATGGTAAGTAACTGTCAATGTTTTCTTTCTTTAAGGTACAGAACTACTCAATCTTTAATGCTCTCCATTGTCAAAACTCTCACAACTACAGTTATTTCCATTATTCAGCGTAAGCCTTGGAAACATGGTAACTCCATTCCCAACTATACTAATGAAACACTGCTCCTATTTGTTCAACAGGACTTGAAAGAAGGCAGGCAATGATCTGTATGTAAAAGGAACATCAAGGCTCCTCAACGTGGAAGGTAGCCCGGAAGATGGCCCCCACTGATGCCCAACTCCTGCCGTTCTCACTATATAATCCTCTCCCCCGTGAGCGTGGGCTGGATTTACAGACTGTCAAGAATAAAACAGGGCAGTGGTCTATCAATCACTTCCACGACTAGGTTTAGGAAATGACAGCCGTGTCAGACGAGGGTGCCGTCTCTTCCTCTTCACAAGAGTCGGCTTCCCGAGAGACCCACGTGGCGAAGAACCGGACTGAGGTGAGAAGCGAATCCTCTCCCAAGATGAGCCCTGAGAAGACTGCAGCTCCCGCCCACCCCGTGACAACAACCCTGTCCTGAGGAAAGGCACCCAGCCAACCTGCACCGAGATTCCTGATGCGCAGGGAAGGGGAGATAATAAACACCTGTTGTTTCAAGCCACTAACTTTGGGGTCATCTTGTTAAGAAGCAAGACGTGACTAGTACACTCCTTTTTTTTCAATCTATAGATTCACCTCGAGAAGTTACAGCACTACCGGCATTATCGGATGGTCACTTAATCTGGCAGCAAGACAAAAGCAAAAACAAAACCAGGCTCTTGCTCCTCTTCCCAAATACGTAACAAGCCTATAACAAATACGTTAACAATGGCTCATGTGATTTCCGTGGTCCGTACTTTTAACAGAAGCGGCTTGCTTCACGCCACAACTGGCTTCCACTCTTGTAAGCGCTCTCCCTCAGAGAGTCTGCGGGGCAGGTTCCTTTTCAACATTCAGGTTTCAACTGAACACCCTGTTCGGAGGCCTTTCCTGGCCAGCCATTCTGAAGGAGGCCCTAGCTGCCCCACGCCCCCACCTATCCCACATTTCCCTCCCACGGTCTGTCGCTGTGTAGTCGGTCGTGTGTGTACTGTCTCTACCCGCCCAAGAACACTCCCCACGGTACTTGGTCACCACCGCCGTGACTCCTTTTGTCTGGAACACAATAAGGACTCAGGAACATTTGTGGGCTCAGAAGGAATGGAAAGCGAAAACTCGGGTCCCGAAAAATGCCCTGGCCAGGGGCAGAGGTCGGCTAAGTCCCACCCGGCGAAACCGGCAAGCCCCTTCTCCAGGGCCGGAAAACGACAGACACCAGTTACAGGAATGGAAACAGAAGTTGGCCTGGCACGCAGAACCCTGCACGGAGCACGGGCGGGCGGACCGGGGGGCGCGAGCTGACCCACCAGGGAGAGGGGCGGCAAGGCGGCCCTGAGATACTTTACCCGAGTCTCCCCCCGGCACCGAGGGGGGCAGCGTGAGGGTGAACACGGCGGCCACGCCGGCGAACACGGCCACGCCGCCGCGAAGGCCCCCGGAGCGCCACGGCCCCACCCGGGCTGCCCGCCCCCCGGCCGGGCCCCCGCCGTCGCCGTGGAGACCCATGGGCCCCCCCGTGGGGCCCGGGGAAGGAGGCCGCGGCGGGCCCAAGGACTCGGGCGACCCGGAGTTTCCCCGGCGAGAGGCGAGCGCAGCGCGGGCGGCGGCTTCCGGGTCGGGCCTCGGCCCCCTCCCCGGACCGCACCTTCCTCCGCCGGGCGCGGGGAGAGGACGCGGCCCGTCTGGCACCAGCCGGCCGGGGGTTCGGTGGTAGCGCGCCACGCGGTGGGACCCACGGGGGGATAATGTGCTTTACAGTCGCCCACCACGAGCAAGAGCCTTCTGCTAAGCAAGCAAGCCTGGGCGCGGGACCGCCGTCTCTACGCCCCCCCCCACCCCCCCCACACTGACTTGGTCGGGTCTGACAGAGACAGAGCGGGGTCGCAAACCGGGGTGCGCCAGGACCGCCTCTGCCCCCGCTGGTGTGGGGTGGAACTACACTGGAGGGCCGCGAACGCGCGCCCGAGCCGCACCGTGCAAGAGCCCGGGGAAGTGTGCGCGCAGTGCGCGCGAAGCAGGCCAATGCATCGCATCAACCGCATGTTCACTACGATTCGTTACAAGCCCGTGTGCGAATTGTTAAATCGCTGAGTTACTTTCAGAGAGATTAAAATACGCTAGTTGGTCTGTTTTTTTCCCTATACCACGAGGAAAACTCAACCGGTGAGTTGAGAAACTTGAGTTTCTGTGTTAATACCAATAATTCGTATCCTGCTAAAGTTGTCGCCTACTTTGATGAACAGGGGGATTGCGGTGGAGCTTTGACACAACATGACAAATGAAACGGAGATGCTGTACGCTGTACACGGTTAGCTGCCAGGCAAGAAAGAACGGGGACTACAGGACAACCACGTAGCACGGCTCTTAGTAAGATTTTTAAGCTTACATTTTACATTATTACAGGAATTATTCTGAAGTGGGAGGGGAGGAGGCCATCCTCTGTGGAATGCATCTCAAAATACACCAAAGATTAGTGACAATCTAAAACGTGTCACAAGTACTCTGAGTGGAACACTTGGTCTCAACTGTGGAGTAACATCCACCTACGTAGGTTGGCAGTTGCGCCAGCAATACCGTAGTCTTCCTCAGGTACTTACATAATACTTTCTCGGCCGTATTGGGGGTTCCTGGAGGGCAGGGGCCGCCGGGTAGGCAGCTTCTAAAATAGCTCCCAGTGGTCCCCTGACTGTGGGTATTCTTTCCCTTATGTAATCCTTTCTCTGGTGTGGGGGCCAGAGCTCTCAGTGTGGTAAGGCATGAGTGATGGATGTCACTTTGCTGATTAGGTTTATAAAAAACTGACATCCATCGTGCTGACACAGGCTGCTTTCTGTTTCTTTTCTGAAAGAGCACGCCAATGATTCATGCTGACTGAGCCAAGCATGTCCATTTCATCTTTTGCTTCTGAGCTCTATAAAAAGATACATTTTTATCATGGCAAATTATTTTCAAAAGGGCATAATTCTTTGCCCATGTATGGGTAGTAGAGATCAGTGCTGGAAGTAGGAATTTGGGAGTTCTCGTGTAGGGATGAGAAGGATGAGTAAATTCACCGGGGCATAGTGTATCGAGAACAAGGTGAAGGTCAAGTGTTAGCCCTTATCTTTGTTTCGGGAATGGCAGGAGAGGAGGAGAGAACAGTGGCAGAGGGTCATGTGTCCCAAGAAGCTAAGGAAGAAATGATGTCAGTGAAGGGTATGTGGTCAGGTTGTCACAGAGGGGGAAGGACGGTGAGGAGGGCCAGATTGAGGTTTTGTGGGGCTTGAGTTTATACAATTTGGAGAATCATCTGAGCAAAAGAATACAAAACTGCAGATACAAAATTAGGTACAGGCATTGGAAGGAACCTGTGCTAGTGACAGGCCGTGAAACTTAAGCTTCGTTAGCTCACGGTTAATCTCCTTTGAGGATGAGGTAGGGCCAGTGCTCTGTGCCTGACTCTGCCTCTCAGGACATGTGCTGATGCTTCGCTCCCACCGGGAGCCCTGTCTCCTCCAGGCTTCCCTGAGAGGACACTGCTTTGGCTCTCCTTCTATCACTGGCCTCTCTGCCCTGACTTCGCTTCTGTCAGACCTCCAAATACTAGAGTGTGCCAGGGCTCATTTGTAGACTTATTTTTTCTCTTTCTGCCTCCTTTCCCAAAATAATTTTATTGAAATTTTAAGTAGCAACTAGAGTCTAATAAATTCCAAAACTACACACTGCTATTCTTTCCTTTAAGTGACTGCTTTTAAAAGAAAATAACTGCACTGTGATTTCCCTATTTATATGTCTAAACAACATTTCAAACCTGGCAGTCTTTGCCTGTCTTATTTGCACCATATACCATGCCTAACATGGTGACTGGCACAAAAGAGTACTTAACAAATATTGGCGTAATGGATGCATACATGCACAATGAGAGACCACTGGTGTACCTGTTAGGGATTGCATTTAGCTGCTGGTAACAGAGACTCTGCTACAGTGTCTTCAACATGCAAGCATTTATTTTCTTATGTAGAGGCCTCAAAGCAGTCAGTCCAACATTGATTTGGCAACTCTCGTGTCCTCAAGGAAAAAACTGAGCTCCTTATATCTCCCTGCCCCATCCTACTCAGCTTAAGTCCTCAAGGTCATCCCTTGACCCATGATGGGATGCTAATGCTCCATCTGTATTTGAGGAAGAAAGAGAAAGGATAGGAAGCGATGAGAATGTCCCAGCCTTTTAAAGAAGGTTATGGAAATGCCATTCCACAATTATGCTATATTTCATTGGTCACAGTTGATTAACAGGCCACTCCTAGGGGCAAAGGCTGTTGAGAAATGTACCTTTGCAGCTAGATGGCTTTTCAGGATTCTATCACCAAGGAAGAAGGGGAGAATGGATATTGGAATGCAACTAGCAGGTGCTGCTGTAGTTAGATTTGGTGAGTTGGAAGTATTTGAACCTTGAAAGTTCAAGGGGTGAGTTTCAGTAGAGTAGTAGATATGGAAACCAGGCAGTAGTGGGTAGGAAATGAGGAAATGGAAGAAGAGAAAATAGAACACATTGGTAAGAAGTGTGTCAGTGAAGGGAAAGAGAGAAGTAGTATGGGAATTCATAGGGACTGAAGTGTCAGATGAGTTTTTTTGTAACCCAAGAGAGTATCTGGAGAGAGACAGTAATGAAGTAAAGATGTACAGGAGGCTGGAGGGAATGGAACCAAGGAAGAAAGAACAGGAAGGATGAAGATAGGAAATACTAGAGTTTAGGAGGGAAATTAGGGAATGCATGACCATTGAACTTGATCCTTGGGGAGACTAGTGAAATATATAAGGAACATGTACCTATTATACATGCTCTGGTTCATTCCACAGTGGGTTAGAGACAGCTACTGTAATACATACTATAAACTAGAAAAATATAGTGTACTACCGAGGATTCAGCCAGAGGAACAAAGGTAGTAGGAGATATATGGATGCTATGAAGTTTATTGCAGGAAATTGTCTCTCGTGTTTGTGGAAGCTGGCTAGGCAAGTACGAAATCCCTAGGGCCGGCCGTCAGGAAGGGCAGGCTGGAAGTCTTGGGCATGGGGTGAAGCGGCTGTCCACAGGTGGAATTTCTTCTTCATCAGGGAATCCTTAGCTCTGCTCTGAAGGCCTTTCAACTGATTGAATCATGTCTACCCAGATTATTTAGGATAATCGCCCTGTCTTAACACCAACTGATCACAGACTTCAATCACAGCTACAAAATACCTTCACAAAAACACCTAGATTAGTGTTTGATTGAAAAACTGAAGAATGTTGTCAAGCGAAGGTGACTCATCCAAAGACCATCGCAGTATTATACACAATGCAAATTCAAGGTCAGGGAACATGTGAATTGGAAATAGAATATCAGATTGGAAGAAAGTAAATATATGAATGTATGGGCCTATGGTATACCAGATTTGGCTCTGGGAGTCTTGAGAGCAAAACAAAAGGGAAATAAGATCATTTGTGTGGCCTCCTAGATCCCCAGGAAAGCAAAGTCTTCCTGGCACCTATGGCCAGCACGTAGCTTCTATGGACACCTTAGGGAATGGCTCCTCAGTACAGCTGGGCAGACATGGGCATTCCAACTCTTCACTAGGCTTCCACTGATACCTCCTAGCTGGGTGGCAGGGTGGGGGGCATGTGGGGTGGCAGGTAGCATCTTATTACTGTTTCCCTGTGGCTTCTGATGATACCACAGTGAGGAGGAGGAGGCAGGACAGGGAGTGGCCTCCTTTTTTGGGCTGCTGGTGAAAATCATGACTCTCCTTTAGGCTCCATCTGACACCACCTTATCCAAGAGGGGTGGGCAGCTCACTACTGCTGGGTGAGGGTGGAAGTCTAGCCTCCCCATGTGGACTTCGCTGACACCATGGAGAAGAGAGGCCCCATTTCTACCCAGCCAAGATGAAAGTTCTGGCTCCTTCCTCAGCCTTGAACATCACCCTGGTGGGTATTTGGGGACATCTGGAGAGGATGGAAGTCTAGGTCTGTACTCAGTCTTCGCTAGAATGGGTAGGACCTGGGGCCACTGTTTTTTTCTTTGGTTTTTGGCTATAGTAGAGATGTTACTTTCTTAATGTATCTGTCCGGATCCTTTCCCTGTCCTTTGACCAGAAAGAACATGCTTTTGTTGGGGCTTTTTTGGTCTGTGCCCATCGGCATCTCTGGGTTGTCAGCTTCTCTAGCATCCAATCTAGGATCTATGAGGCAAAAAGAAAACCCAGGGAACTCACTGTCATGTTGTTCTTCAACTTCTCAGGCTCCTATTTGGTCTGCCTTCTTCTCTCCACCTTTAGTTTTCTTACCATTGTCTTACATATAATGTTTACTTGTACTTAGCAGGAGGAATAAGGAAAAGTGTCTATTCCATCTTTCTGGAAGCAGGAGTCACTCCCCTTTGTTTTATTCTTTCCAAACATTTACAGCAGCTTCACAGACATTAATGCACTGAAATCTGCCTTAAAAATTGTCATCTAGAAGCCATTATTACCATTAAATCCCACTTAAAATAAAGTCAGATGTGTCTTAATCTTACCAATACCTGTAAAATTTTAGATTCGGTACTTTAGATTAGAAATTAGCTACCTGGAATACCATTCCATAAACCACCT